ATCTAAAACTTGCTCTGTGCTTCTCACATCAGTGCCTGTCATAGTGAGCTTTCAGATGTGAATATTTTCTATTAAATGTGGAGTCCTGTGCCATATGTAAGGGAAGGAAGTCCAGGCACAAGGCGATTTTTTAGCATGTAAGTCCTAACAAGAACCAATGGATGGAAGCTGAAGCCAGAAAAATTAAAGTTAGAAATAAGGTGCACATTTTTAACAGGGAGGGTGATTAACCATTGCAACAAACTACCAAGGGAGGTGGTAGTCTCCATCTCTTGATGTCTTCAAATCAAGACTGGATGCCATCCAGAAAGGTATGCTTTAGTAAAACACAAGTTATTGAAACTCAATACGGGGTAACGGTATGAAAATATGTATCCCAAAGATAAGGCTGGAAGGCAAAGGAGACAGTTCTACAGTCTGGGGTCAGCTCCTGAGGGAGATCTATCTCAGGGAAACTAAGGACTATTGCAAACATTGCTACATTCTGGTTTCAATGGAAAGTGCCCTTCTCCAACCTTGCCTTCTCAAAGAACAATATACAGCATATTAACTTACTTTAAAAAGTTATGCAGACAAGAAGTTCAAAACGTATTTAGTTTTATCTTGATCTTGCTGAAGTTGTAGTTAAGGTGTGTGTGTGAGATTTTTGTGGGGGGGGAGGGAGGAACTATTGTGGATGATTGTACATAGGAAGTGAAAAGGTGTTTGCTGTAGAGATGAGGTATCTGAATGAGTATTGGTATTGTGATATTAGAGTGGTAAGGTATAAGACTTCAACTTGGTGCATATGTAAATGTTACTTTAAACTGGTCATTTCTTGACTTCTTGTTTTGTGCGGGGTGGGCAAACTTCTTGGCCTGAGGGCCACATCGGGTTTCCAAAATTGAATGGAGGGCCTGTTAGGGGAGGCTGTGCCTCCCCAAACAGTAGGGTGACCAGATCACCAAAGACAAATATCGGGGACGCGGGGGGGGGGGGGGGGCTGGCGGGGGGCAGGGCC